CCTCTTCCTACAGAGAGAAAGGGCAAGTAGCATAGCGTAGCTACGCGATTTCTCTACCCATGAAGGGAAGGCACGGCGCCGCGTCATAACGCCACGCGCCAACGCGCTTTAACGGTTGCATGTGGTCAGGCCTTTACTTTGTGTATGAGCAGCGTGGTCCTTTCTTAAAGGCGGCCACGGCAGTGTTTCGTGCCTTGTTTAATCACTGTAACTTCAAAGCAACCTTACGGTGAAGGCACAAGGGTACAAAGCGCCCGAATCTTGAGATGTGAGCCACCACGTCAGATAGCATACATACGCACTTTGACCACGCCATGTTAAGGAGCGCTTATAGCTGCGCGCGGTGTGGCGTGAGGTGACGACCTGTTGAGAGAGTGCGCCCAATGAATGCTTCTGGGCCATCTCCCCACTCATGATGACTCTCGCTGAAGGGAGTGAGCTCGGAGGGCCGTCAACACTACATGGTGTATGTAAATGTTGCCGTTAGCATCCTTGTCAACGTATGCTTCGTGGCGTAGTGGATAGTGCGGCGCGCTATTGATTGAATGGTCTGACACCCCGCAAAAAAGTTTTTATGCTCGTTTTTTTTATTTCCAGCCTATCAGGATTTATTTTTCAACGTAATATTCATGACGGAGGTACGTCAGCATAGCCGAGGTAGACCCCGGCTGGCATAAAACGCTTTCGTGTTAAAAACGTTTCCATTCGAACTCAACAAACTAGTAGCGTCAGTCTCTACGTAGATGAATGTTTTAGACTTGTAAAACTGGTATTGTATAATTGCGTTCATTTTTTACAAAGAGATTTATGAGTGTAATTGCATATCTCTTAGAAACCAATCCTGGCAAGAAAGGCAGCGATGCTATCATAATCTCATGTTTCCTTCACATTGCTGTTTTTTTCTATAGTACCTTCGTCTTCGTTTCGACAACAAGGTCGGAATCACGGCGTGCCTCGTCTACTTCGTACTAAGCGTGAGTAGTAGAAAGAAAGCAAGAAAAGAAAATAGCTTAGTTGAATCTCGTGAACCTTCATTTCTCTATAAGAAAAAGAATACGAACATCGGTGACAAGCCAACATTATAACACCGTTTTGTGCAACGCTAAATTCTTACTGTGCTTTATGTTGCTGAAAATACAAATTGTAAACGCCAGATTTTATGAACGTCATGTTGGTTCAGTGCTCTTTGTTTCTCAGCACCATCAGTAACCTGTAGTCAAGTTTTAACAGGAAACATGTTGAAGTATCCGGTACCGCAATATCCGGGAAACGGAGAAAACATTTTGCAGCTGTGCGAAGTGAAGTGAGGTCGTAGTACAGTTATTTACTGTATAGTAGCGCGAAGGAGCGGAAAAAAATAAATTAAACGGGTTGTGCCAATAAATTTCGTGGCTAAACAAAGCCTCTTGTCCGTTTTCTCTCTATGCTAGTGCATTCCTCACGAAATTCCTCACGAACTGTCGGCCACAGCAAACGTTTAGAGTATATTTTAATTCAACTCCAAAGTTTGAATAAATGCTTATTATCCCTGTCCTTTCTCCTTCCTTCCTCTTCCTCATTCTCCCAACCAAAGCCCACCGCAAGCGCGTCCAGAACTATCCTATCCCTGTAAGAAGGGGAACGAAAGTTCCTGTGACGTCGCACTCGATCTGTAGTGAGAGTAGGCTTGCGCAGGTTTCCCCTTCAGGGTGAAGAAAGGTTCATCGCAGCGCACCCTCTCCCTATTTTGTCATTGTATAGGTCTAAATTCATTTGATATGTGGGGTTTAACATCCCAAAACCCCTATATGATTACGAGAGACGCCGTAGTGGAGGGCTCCGTGAAATTCGCCTACCTGGGCTTCTTTAACTTGCACCCAAATCTGAGCACACTGTCCTACACCATTTCTGCCTCCATCAGAAACGCAGCCGCCCCATCCGGGATTCGATCCCGCGACCTGCGGGAAAGCATCCGAGTACCTTAGCCACTAGACCACCGCGGTGGGCTCCGTGTGTAGGTCTGACTTCGCGCCCCCTTCCTATTAAAGTAATGTGCGGGGCTGTGTCTGCACACCGCCCCTCATAGGTGCACATGGAAGTGGGTGCCCCTTTACCACCCTCCCACGCGTACGCCTATTGCAGTGAGCTGAGTGACTTGCGGAGGCCTCCGCAACGTGTGTACGGGCGAAGCATCGCGGCTGCATTCGTTTTGCAGGTGTGTGTGCGGCACGTGTACAATTTTTCTTTAATCCTCCTTGCACGTGTATGAGAGAATGCCAGCGACAGCAGACAAAAATAAGCATGACGTACATCACATCCTCGTGTGGCCACGAGACCAAGCTACACTGCTACGTCACAGCCTCATTCGCCTCATAGAAAACCGAAAATTTTGCACATAAAAAAATGCAACATTATTTCAATTCGCGAGAATAAATTCATCTTGGTGCGGGTATAATGCCTCTCGGGGCTATATGAAACGCTTGCAGCAAAGAGCGCGCAAGCAACAAAAATGGTGGCACCACCTCTTAAGGGTGAACGTGAGTAATGAGAGGGTGTGGAGTTGAGAGATGAAGGGGAGAGGGTGAAGCATATCATATGCTTGTGTAGTGCAGTATAGTAATACGTGCGCAAGGAATGTGACAGGTAGGAAGATAATGTGAGAAAGGAAGGTGAGAAACAAAGAGGGGCTAGTTGGACGTTGCAGAAACGCAAGGGAGAACCAACGCCTCGCAGTTTCTTCAGTGTTAGTGACCAGCAGCCTGAAAATTTTCCAAGAAACTTTCATGGCAAGAGACATTTGTTGTTCATTCCTTAATGGGAGATTTTAAATCAGTGGACACTTCTGCGCTTAACCATGAAGCCAAATCTTTTTGCTCCTCAGTGACGCAAGACGATCGCAGTCATACAGAAATAAGTGCTTAGAAAAACAATTGTTTTCTGGGAGGGGTAATCTTAGACCACATAGTCGAACGATGACTTTCTTAACCTCTGTGTAACCCCCTTGTTAGTACAATGTGTCCGATATATAAATTCATCTTACCAACGGTACTAAATGGTGTGAAAAAAGGAGGCATACTTCTCTTGATACCGTCGTAGTGGAATGAAATGGCTCTGGTACATGTAAACTCGGCATAGCGATGGTACATGTAAACTCGGCATTCGCTATGCCGGCATAAACTCGGCATAGCGAATGAAAACGGCATAGCGATGGCGTCCTTTATCGTGAATTCAGACGGCAGACCGAATCCGGATTTGTCATGGACGCAGACGGCTAATCCGTGGATGATTCGCTTGCAGGCGCATTCACACGACGGACGGTGTCCTAGGAGAAAACAGCCGGATTACCCTCGACAGCAGATTTGGCGCTCACCTGCGCCCGCTGGCAGCAGACCGGTTTCAGAGTATTCAACATGGATGCCCGCAAGAAGCGACACTTGTCTATAGCTTGGCTGCGATGTCTGTCGTGTTGTGACAAATGAACGAGGAGTGTTATTCTTTCAGGAGAAAAGGAAGTTGCTGGCAGAATGTTCTTTCAACTATATTGTTCCCCGCTTGTAGAAGTTCCGAACACGTCTCCCATCCTATTTTAGAAGCGGCAGGTCGCCGGTTGCTGAAGTTAAAATATTTCACCACCATGACGGCTAAGAATCTCGCATGTCAAATGACGGCGGTGGCATTTCCCGAACCACAAAAAGTGATTTCTGCGTATTTAATCACGTGAGAACAAAGCCCCTGGAAACTAAGTAAACCATGCTCAAGCGTAGATGGTGCCGACCAGTTATGCAGCTGTCCGCGAGCCCTGGAGGACATGTCACGAGCAGACAAAAACTGTTCTGGTTGCCAGAAACCCCGAGCTAATCTGCTGAAGTACAGGCTTTCTCCCGCCAGAATCCCGATGTGAGAAACACGTTGGTGTCATCCGTCCGCGAGCCGCGCGCACGAGTCGCGGACGAAGGGAATCGCTGATGTGAGGTCACGTGACACGACGTCCGTCCCGCCACATCCGGATTCAGTCCGTCTTCTGATGGCCGCGATGTGAAGCACCCCTTAGAGAACTCTTGAAGGAGATTCCGTGTAGAATTTCCCTTGTTTTTGTTTTGCCATCGTTGGGTGCTCTCCGTGGGAGCCCACTTTACATATCAATTGCATGCTATATGTGTTGTACGAAACGGGCAGCTTGTCTGTCATTAATCCATTATGAGCATAGCCGTGAAAGGTGCCGTAAAATGCCCCGGACATACCGATTCCCTGTCCGGCTTACTTGTTTCTGGCTAAGCGATAAGACTAACTTCCGGAGATGTCGTATCACGATGAAAATCCGATGAGCCTTGGCACTACACTACTTAATTATGTCAAGATGTTTCGAACGATCTTGCACTGAAAGTAATACTTCCTGTTCTGATAGATAATCACTTACCTGAAAGCATACCTGGTCCCCCTATTTACCTTTTTTGTTTCTTCTTCAGCAAAAGATATACTAAATATTTCAAGAAAAAATACTATTCCTCCTTCTTTATATAAAGCAAACATGGGCTTGTTAGGAAGAACATTACTAATCATACAGCGCACTTAAACCAGCAGGACGATAAAAAGGGAGCACACGACATTGGTTTCGGGCGTTTGCTTTCTGTGTTCTCATTAACTCGTTCTATTTGATGCAGATAGTCCCAAACCCATCATCATATGGCGATTTTAGAACGGTAAACGCCAACAATCATAATTATGATGCATCATGGTTAACCAGCAAGCCCAAGTTTACACAGTTTTAAGCTCTGTCCCTGTAGTTTACGTGAAACAATTCCACAAAGGAAGGACAAATAAAGCACCTTCACCTAATATTGAACGTTTCTAATGTGTTGCTCACTGCAAGAATAAGTTATTCAATGTTATACCAGGCAGTGTGATAAGAGATTTGAATTTTTGGCCTAAATTCGACGTAAAAATATTTTACTGTGAGTTTTCGCATTGTAACTAGAGCGTAGCCTGATTTCTAAACGTTCTGTGACGAAACTTGTTTGCAGCAAACACTTGGTGCCGTTGGAATATACAGCGCAGCGGTTGGCATTTCGACAAGTAAGATTTTTTGTTTCATTGTCTCAATTTTCATGGGTCATTGATAACAGCCCTGTTAAAAACTGATTTCAGTCGTTTCTTTTTTTATGCTAGTAGAACATTTGGTAATCTTTACAGAATAATAAGTGTTTAGACACGTGTGGTTTGCTGTGCCATTTGGTCGAAAAGGGTGAAACGAGTAGACTTTAGAAGCGGAAAGTTAGAATGAGATTCCACGTTATTTTTTTGCGTCCTACGTCAAGAATAAAAGGTTTATTGCTGCAGCGAAGCCGCTTCAGCAGATAGCACTATTTAGCAAGTGCTGCGAAGCAGTAACGTCTCTATTTCAAGCATGACACATCGATAGTATTAGACTAATTGAAAAACATAAAATGAACTAAAATACACTTAACACAAGGCCACTTTTACTGATACAATACCAGTAGATAATATGATAAAACATGCTACACAAGACTGGTGAACAAGCTTGTACGGAGAGTCATGGGATAGGGTAACAAACATAACTGATCCGATGTGCAGAAGAAAGGAAGGACAGTGAGCGCATGATGTCAAGGAAAGAGGGGCATCACACACACTCCAACTTCAATTCAATAAAAGTAACAATACTAGCTATTCGTAGCTGTATTCACTTGAAACACAGTGTTTAGATTTACTACAGCGCAGGATTGGATAGACCAAGGAAATATATGTAAGGGCTGTACAATCTGCTAGCTTTAGGTGCTCTGGCTCTCGGTATGATGAACTAACACCAACAAGTCCAATTCAAAACTTTTCACATTGTTGTTGATGAATGATAATACAATGAGGAGGAGATAACCACCTAATCTGGGTGAGTCATCATTGTGTGCTTGAAAATAACGCTTAATTGACGATAGTTTCTTACCTTACGTTTCCGCTCAGGAAGGTTCAGTTAATTGAACGAACACAAACGCCTTTTGGATGACCCCAAACAGAAACAAAATGCACATATTGAAAGCGTAACTACAAAAAAAAAAGATTTCGTGAACTATGTCACAGTAAGCGAGAACGTGAGTCAATCGCGATCATCGTTTTATGCATACATGAAAAAAAAGTCGACTAGAGAACATAAGTATATGTTAGCGTACGTATTCAAAATACTTCACGGACATGGGTTTAAATACGATGCTATTGTATAGTGTATTTTTCGGATGATGAAGATAATTAAGAAGTGACCGCTCAGTCACACTTGTTTTGTCATTATTTTTGTTTTGATGCCGCCTTACATGCAGAGTATTTCTTCTGCTCCCAATACCGGCTGCGTGTGACGAAAGATTCTGAGCAGTTAGAACAGAAAAAAATAAGAAAAATATAAATAACTAGGTAGTTCCTTCACCAGAGAGCAAATGTGTTAAATATTGAGGAGTTGTCGGCATGTATATATGCCTGGTGCCGTACACTACGTGTTCTTTGTTCTAGGAGGGCGCAGTATTTTAGAAATTGTGGTGTGAACGCGTACTTACAAAAAAAAAGTGCACACTGAATGTTTAAAAAGTAGGTGGTGAACTTAAGGGCTCTTACTGTGATGATGTCAAAATATTGCTTTGTCATCGGGCGGAAGCGATTACACAACGTACTCTGTTTACACAATTCTCAATAGGCTGGAGTAACCATTAAAAAACACGCTCTCGGATTTGCTGTTCTAGAAGTGCCGAAAAGGTAAAGTTGTGCATGAAACGGGACAGAAAGCTTTTAATAGAGCAGTAAAGACTATAGTTTGTAAAGACACACAATTGAAGTATAGATATGCTTTCATTCGTAATCGATGCTGTTGGCTGTAATTGTACAGCGTCGAATACAGTGTCAAATACCTTGAGATTTGCAGCATGTGATGGCTCTATTCACTCAAATCGCCAAAGTACATGTTGGTATCGTGTATTGAAAAAAGCAGGTAAGCTAAATACAAGGCTGGCTTCGAGAGCTGCGATAATAATAAAGATTTTCTTCTACCTGGTGGTACCTAAACAATAAGCGCTTACTATATATTTCTACCGCCATTTGAGAAAACCTTTAGCGCAAATTATACAGTACTACATGAAAACGCACGCGAAGTTGAAATAGTGATGTGGATTTGACCTTTTACTCGAATAACACGAGTGGGCTCTTCATTATACTTTTCAGTGTTTCCTCTGTCACTTCTCTACTCAAACATCATCATTGGGTTAGCTGGAACTGTGTACACGGCATTGGTAAGAACTTTTTTTGCTTATAAATACTACAGGCACAAAAAAATATACGTAGACTTCCTGTGTTATTCACATATGGACTACGATTTTTTTCTCTTGGATACTAGAGCCTGAGAGGCTGTCCATGACTGCTTAGATTCAGTCTGCTGAATTCGTATAGAATATTTTGTATGGTATTTCAAAAATATTAAATGCAAATATGAAAGGTACTGAGAGTGATGCTGTTTGGCTTATGTTCCGGTGTTAAGGGCCCTCTTCGTTGCGGGAGCAACGGCGCCGGAATTGGTCAAGTGGCATTACAGCGTACAACAGGTGCACGTCTCGCACGAAAATGAAGTATGTGCAACATCAATTCGGAAAACAAAGTAGACTGCCCAAGCCCCACTACAGTATACAACAATGCTTGGTATACAAAAATGTGGTTGGTGGATTAGGTGCCGAAAATGTAGACAACCTTTTCCAGTAAAGTCTGTACTTCTTGCTCCCTGCGCTTACCGAACACGTTTTGCACTTTTTACGCCTCGCATCAACCACGTATTAACCAACATCATTGTTATTGTGGGCGGTTTTATAATAGACGTAAAACAAACAGACCTCAACGCAAATGCACGAGAACATCTCGTTTCTTTCTATTGTAGCTCATCCAATCGAGGTGACGACCTCGCGGGACCCTTGCGTGGACCTTGTATTTCAGAATTACGCATTGCTGCAGCGACTCGAACATATATATACCTACTTTCCTGACCAGAAGGCTTCTTTCGTAACAATATATGACTGGCAGACGTAGGCTCTCTCGTGAGGAGTGTGGAAAATAAATAATGATATGAAGTTGTACAGACATATACGCCTCGCTTAAGTGCCCCTGATCAGATCTATGGTTAAAAAATACAATGTGTTTCCATTAACCTCGATAATTATTTCAGAAGAATAAGCTAACATAAAAGAAACCATACAAGAGTCCGTGTCCACGGAGGGGAGGGTTTCCGTAGGGGGCACAGCCCTTCCCACAAAATTCTGATAGGGGGGGGGGGGGCTGTTTTAGCAAGTAACCAAATTAATCAAAGCCTTCAGCATCGAGCCTCCCTTCCGGTACTCAATCGTATACGTTCATAGCAAGATTACATTGTACGCCCTCACCTTAGGCGTAATTTCCCCTCTAAACAAGAGTTTCATCTTTGGTAGCATTTGCGTTTGTCACAGGTCTAAGTTTAGTTCTGCACATTTTTGCCAAGTGTCCTGTTTTCGATCATTTGAAGCACTTGCTATCCCAATGCGGATATTTCTTCGCGACGTGTGAGCTGCCATATCTAGTACAGACAACCTTAGTCCTTTCAGACGGAACGTTCTTTTTACCTTGTGCAGAAGACCGCCGTTGCCAGTTTACGTTACCTTCAGTGGCCCAGGCACTGTTGGTCATGTCTTTGCTACGGCCTTCCTTGTTGTTTCCTTGCCCTGCTTTCATTCCCAGTGCTGCACTGTAAGCCATTTCGAAGGTGAGGTTCTTGTCTTCCATCGCAAAGAGACGTGAGCAAGCAGTCCTGAATCACCTCTTTAAGAAGCGTGCCGAAGTCGAAAAGGGCTGCCATCTTTCTGAGTTCCACGACGAAGTCACTGATGCCTTCATCATGGGTGTTGGCCTTTCCAATAAAACTTGTACCGTTTCACTAGCACGAAACGCTTGAGCGTGTAATGATTTTGCAGGATCTCCACAACATCTTTGTAGCTGAATTCTACGGGAGTCTCCAGAAAACGCAGACTTTGAAGCGTGATAAACGCGGCACCTCCTATAAGTGTCAGGAACATCTGCTGCTTCGTTTTCTTGCCTATCTCGTTAGCAGTTGCAAATGCCTGGAAGCGTTGCACGTAGACTTCGAAGTAATACTTCTTCGGTGAGAACTCCAGCAGGTGAACCAGACTCTCGCCGCTGTTCCTCGATGTGGTGCGCGTTATATCCGTAGTCCGATTTCCAACATCCTCGTCGCCATTGTTTTATCTTGACAAAGAAAGACGGGAACCAGGCAAACGATATAGCTAAGGCTAACTGCTTTATTTGACGTATCAGGGGCGTGTCAATACAAGGATCGACACTTTAAGACAAAAGACCGACAATACAGATAGCTGCCAGCTTTTATTAGCCTTCACAAGGGCGTTAAATCATAGACACGTGGACAGGCAGTCAGCATAGTGGCCCCAGCAACCTTATCACACATAGCCTCCAGCTTGCGCCCAGCCCAATGGCGTCACGCGTGCCATTATTCACATGTAACACCCTTAGGAATTCTGAGCAATCTTCTCTGAAAAGGGTAATGAATCTAGTATAAATCATTGTCGGTGCTCATAGTGCTCGTACCATTTCTTTTCCATTTAGTGATTTTTGATCTTGCACGGGGATCGTAGTATGCTGCCTGGCAACAATAAGAAGATTTGGAAATGTCGAACATCGAATAGAGTTCTTGCATGGATCACTTTGCAAATAAAGAAATGCCACATGTAACATGCCACATGATATGACTAACTGATAACACCGCGCCATGTTAATCTAGTGGTTATGGCCCTAGAGTGCTGACACAAATATTGCGGCATCAAGTTCCGGCTTCAACATCTAAATTCTATGGAGGCGAAAATATTTGAGGACCGTGTACTGAGGTTTAGGTGCGTTTAAAAACCCCACGCGGTCGAAATATCTGGAATCGTCCACTAAGGCGTCTCTCATAATCATATCGTGGTTTCGGGATGACAACTTTGAGGTATGATTACAATAACTGTGACTGAAAATATGTGAGAGCTTAGCTAGTGAGAACGTAATCATTTTCAAGAGACAGCGTCTGCTAACACAGGCCTTTGTAGTGTGCTGTCTTCCTTATTGGGCCCGTGTTTGCAAGCACTGTCGAATGAACGGAGGCTGTGCGTTTTCGTAGGTAAACCGATTCAGATGACCGTGACAAATGTGGTCTGTATACCCTAAAGCGCCTGCACTGTCGAGCTATTTCTCTAAAACTTTTTTAATAGGGCACCCTTCATTCGAAGTGGCCCCGCCGTGGTGGTCTAAATGCTAAGGTACTTGGCTGCTGACCAGCAGGTCACGGGATCCAATCCCCACCTCGACGGCTGCATTTTTGATGCAGGCGAGAATGCTGTAGGCCCGTGTGCTCAGATTTGGGTGCACAATACTTAACCCCAGGCGGTTAAAAGTTTCGAAGCCCTCCACTACGGCGTCTCCTATATTATGCGGTGGTTTTTGGACGTTAAGCCACATAATAATCTTCATTCAAAATTCTCGTAAAGGCCTTTTCTCGTGAATTCCTCGTAAAGGCGTTTCGACACCTGCATGCACCAGATCGCGGAAAATGAAAACCATACCGGCAGTGTGAAAGATGACAAAAGTTTACGGTGATTTTTATGCTTCAAATGCGAAATAGGAAACCATGATGCCATTATGTCGGGACAGGCTACAGCACATGTCATTAAGAACGAGACAAGAAAAAAAGAAACCCACTACAAAGTACAACAAGCCATGGAAAACTACATGTGCAGGCAAAATAAAATCATACAACAATATTCACAAAGCTGCACGTACGTGATCAGGTGAGCAGATCTAGTACTAAATAAGGGGATACACAAAGCGAAACATTTAAGATTGTCAGTAAAACACAACGAAACACAAAACGTATATAGATAAACAAGACGTATTGCACACGATCACAACGTAACCAAATGTTCCGAACAAAACACCTAAACAGCTGATTTAGTATTCATATAAACTGAAATCTAACATTTCCATTGTATAATTTTCTGCTAGTCCACTTTCGGCCCACATAGGTGCTTGTGTTGTTTTTATTTACACGTTACAACAATAAGTTTCTCTGAATACAACAAGGACAGTTAAACAGAAGAGTGTGCAATAATATAACAAAAATATGTTATTCTGTAGACAGAATAGCCATTTCAGCACCTTATATTACAGAATATACGGTTTTAACACTAAAACAAGGTGGTATTCATTGCTAATATCAGAAGTAGGGAGATAGAATCTGTTTTGTGTCTTTTTTTCTCCTATTTACATTGAGCTTTCAAAACCCACGTACATCGTATTTTACTTTGTTGTAGGGCGGACTTCGTGGCGTGGTTTGGGCGGACTGTGTTCAAACACTAGTGATGTTTTTATCGCCAGTCACTATCATAGCAAAGGTAGTTTATGACTCTCTTCACGTAACTCCAACGCTGAGGCCCATAACGGACATGAACGTCACAGAGTACATGTTCAGGTAAGTTTTTTAATTGCAAAACAACGCATAAAGCTTGTATGCGCAGAAAACTGCACAATTGTTGGCTGCATGATTCAAAAATTATCAACTTCGCTAGGTCAGAATAAGAAACCTATCTCCTTGCGGAAATCGGGTAGACAATGAATAAATGTGACGTAAGAAGGTAGCGACGGTTGGTAGAAGCCGAGAAGGAAGAAGTCAGAATAGAAGAAACATGGCGTATGAGCCAGGCCACGTCTGCCATTTATCATAGCGTCACACATACATCGTAGCGTCATAGGTCTCTTGGGCAAAACGCGTTTGTGGCGCTGATACCTTATGCGTATATGCCTCACGTTTTGAGTTTGCTCTAAGAGGCTCGCTTTGCGTCGTCGTCCTTGTTGCCGTATCTGTCGGAGTGTCTTGAATCCCTGGAATCGCTTTTACTTGCGTTGCTGTGGTTGTACTGGAACGTGCTGAGTTGGGAGCGCTCCTTGAACACCATGCCGGTTTTCTTTACAAATTGATGTAGTGTCCAGTCGGCAGCTGGTAGTCTGTGAGCTGTTGTAACGCTTTTCAGGCAGTGAAGTTGGTAGGACAGATTTGACTGGAGGAACATCAGAGGCGCCTGCGACAGCATTCATTACGTAGGCTTCTGGCACCTGGTAACCTGTAAGAGTTCCTTCCGAGCCCCCTGTGTTTGGGCTTTCTGATGGCTGTTCTCTCAATGGCAACATCACAATAGGCGTGGTTGGGTCAGATTCTAGATGGGAATGACTTTCTTTCTGCGCAACGAATGATGCGAGTTCTTCTGGCGCATGAAACTGGAGCGCAAGTCCCGGGCTCGACTGAGTATGCTCCGAGCTTCTCTGCTCTATTCCGACCATAGTGAACGTGTGAGACGTGAGGTGCGCGTTGTGAGCGTCCAAAGATCCACGTGATGGAAAAGCAGGAGGTTGGTCAATGCGTGAAGGCTTCTTTTGACTGTGATGGTCGAGTGCGGTTGTGTGTGGCTGGTGGGTTACAAGCGAGTCTCCGTCGTAGCCGTCGTTGTATTCTTTGAACCAAACGATCATTTCTTTTTTGATATTTTCCCATGACTCGTGGAAATATGTGGGTGAGGTAGAATTTGAAGGCCTCACCGGAGACGTAGTCGGTAAAGTTGATGATCATCTCCCGTTCCGACCATGATTCAGCGGTAGCGTGGAGCTCGAACAGGTCGAACCAGTCCTGCACGGGTCCATCGTCCACTGCTCCGGTGTACTTGGGGATGTCAAGGTCGGCCAATGGTTCTGTCATGGTAATGCTCGTTGTCCTTCTAGGCGATGGTTTGGTAGTCGATGTATGGTCAGGGTGTGTTGTGGAGAACTGCTTCGATGATGAGTGACTGAAGAAGGGGCAGGCAGGTCTCCATCGTGTCGACTCGTATGACGCTAAGATGAATCGCAGACGTGGCCCTGCTCATACGCTGATGCTGATGCTAATGACCTCTGATGGATGGCGCTTACTCACAGAGGGGGATGGGCCAAGAACCGGGTGGCAGGATACTTAAATGGAACTAAAATGAAGCCAATCTGAAAAAGTGGATTAAAAGTAATACTACCAAAAAACAAAAAAATGTTTGCTGAGCAAGCGGTCAAACCATCTCTTGTTTTTGATTGACACAACAACGAAATATAAACTAAATATCTGAAAAGGTAGGGGTTCACTAGCACGGTAATATTTTAGTTGCGTTGATTTAATCAAACACAGTTGAGCTTACATCCCTGTGGCAGTAACGAAATGAAGTTCCGCCAAGTGATAAAATTACTGGTAGATTTACTTGTCTTCCTAGCTTTTGTAATGGGGCTACTAGAAATCTTTTTCTCTGATAAGAATAACGATGACAGAATAAAAATAAATGTTCAATTGTTTCAATTTCGTTGCACCAAATGCATAGCGATGACGCCTTGAGCTGAGCTTTGTTAAGGTAATAATTTAGTTGTGCAACTGCACAGCGCAATCTGGTATAAGTGACCTCTAACTGGCGAGATACACACCACTGATCAATCCAGCAATAGCTCAAATGCTCGAAATCTTTGAATTTATCTAAATTACCTTTTCCCCATACGCCATGTTTCTTCCATTCTGACTTCTTTCTCGTCGGCTTCTATTAACCATCACTACCTTCTTACGTCACATAAACACATTTCTGCTGTTATTTTCAAGAAGACAAAAAAAGTTGGTGTCTTTTCCTTCAAACTTCTTTGTGTGCTTCTACATATCACCTCTGAAGACCATACAATACCGCAAGGTATGACATCGTTTCGAGCCTTGCTACGTAGTGCCTCATTCGGCTAATAGACATGCTACGTATAATTGTGTTGGTTAGTGTCTGTAATATCCTGCAATATAATATATGCAGTTAAAAAGGAGCGGTGAAGTTCACCTGGCTGCTCCATTCACGCAGGATATCCTCTGAAGGCACAATGTCCCCATGTCTGGACACCAACTGTATTTGGCAGTTTCTTTTAACTGATCGCCACGAAAGCATTAGATATTTTTTACACGTAGATTGGTTGTATGTTTTGGTTAGTCAGCAATCCAGCAGTTCTCCTCATTGCGCCGCATATGACTGCACATAGTTTCTTCAATGATGGAGCTACATAATGCTCGATGGCTCTGTGGACGTGCCGTATTCCAGGGCCAATATGAACTGTTTTTAACAACGAAGGTGATCTATAGTTGAGGTTTTCAAATCTGCGGTTGTGGTAGCGCTGATCGCAGGAGTTCGTACTGTGGCCAGAACGAGTCTATGTAAAAAATGGAGAGCTCTGCGTGCTGATAGAGGTGAGGGCGGGAGGGGAGAATGTCGAGGGATAAATCTTAGAGAAGCCCGCCAGGGAGAGGTGAAGGTGAAGTACAATGGAGTGTGAATTAGAATTTCCGTGTCCATGTTCAGGCGCCTAAGCTTTCAGAATGGTGGGCATTTCTCATTCTATAGATAAAGAAACCGACTGATGTGAGCGCCCGCAAGAGTTTACGCGAGGAGGAGCATGTCGACGCCAAGCCAACCCCCATCTCCGCACAAGGAAGCCCGAGGCCAAGCATGATTGATCAGAAGACCTAAAATAATATAGAAGGGTGGTATGGCCTGTTCAAGGACAGGCATAAGGATAGTTATAGCGTGAGAACAGAACGATGACAAAGAGACAAGAAGGACACGAGCACTAACTTGCAACTGGGTTTATTGCACAGAGCACGAAAACATATAGAGGAGACAGTAAACCATGTGGCAAAAACCATGCGGCACAAAGGGCGATGCTAGAGTAAGGGAAAAAATAAAAGCCCAGAAAAAGGCAAGGGAAAGACTATAAAGAAACGAAGCAGAAAAGTAAAAGTAAAAGTAATATAACTACTTGCGCGCACCGAAACCTTCGAGGAAATTAAAAGTGTGGCAGCTAGGGCTAGTCGGTATGACATGACGATAGTCATTGCGCGAGAACAGAACGACGACAAAGAGACAAGAAGGACGTGTTCTTTATGTCCTTCTTGTCTCTTTGTCGTTGTTCTGTTCTCGCGCTATAACTATCGTCATCTTCGAGGAACCTTAGTTCCTTCTTGAACAGATACACACGGAGGGCTTGCTAATGCATGACACTTGTTCGCGTGCCATCTGCGCGGCCTCGACGATAACTCAGGTGCGCTCATCCCTGTGCTTATATAGCGCCACTGTGTCTTTGAAAAGGGGCACACAGTTGAACTCAGTGCAGTGCCGAGCAAGAAAACCATCTTTCCCGTTTCTAACATTGTTAGCGTGTTTTCTCAGTCGATCGTGCAGACACCAACCGGCTTCCGACATAACAAGCACCGAAGAAAAGGGGGGTCCTATAGACAACATCCCGGGAGTATGCCACATACCTCTTTCTATGCTTAACTCTCCATTCAGTTGATGAGTGCATTTTCAGGGGGTTTGTAGATTTTGTGAGACTGATTAACTTGAGTGGTGCAGAGAACAACACACGAAATCCCACACGTTTTCCGATTTTCTTGAGCCTGTGTGACACCTGGTGTTTATACAGAACAACGGCTAAGGCTCCACGCTCTGTATTCGTGGTTCTCGGATCTTGTCCCTACCTCTGCTCTGTCCTATTGGTCTACAGGACAATCTCTCTTTGTCGTCATTCTATTCTCGAGCTATAACTATTGCCATGTCATACCAACTAGCCCAAACTGCCACAAAGGCATAAGCTTTGAAGTTTAGACAGTGTTCGTGAGGTGGAGCTGGTTTTCATTTCTAGATAACTCAAATAAAACGAATTGTGAATGCATTTGCGGCCTATTTATTTGATTATTTTGGTGCGAAAACATTAATGCTATTGTCTAGAGTTTTACGTCCCGAATGCTGTATCACTATAAGGGATGTCGTAGTGGCAGGCTCTGGAAACTTCTGCCAGTAAAAGTGCCACAGGGACAAAATGTTTCTGCTGGAAACATTTCGTTACCACGCTGTAGAGAAAGTAATGCTTTTGCACTTAACCATGATCGTTTTTCTCAATATCTTAGAATGCCTACAAAAATTAACGTTCTCAAATGCCCAGTACATCACAGTTCTTCCTTTTTCTCATTGCGGGGATAACCACTTCGCGTCCATAAAATGCAACGAACATTCGCGATTCTGCACACTTTGCATTGGCGAGAAACTTTGAACTACCCACTAATTGTGCAACTCGCATGTTTAGATATTTCACTTGAATCTATGGCGCTCCCATGCAGTATTTCATGCATTAAAGAGACTGCCTTCACTGTTAAAGAAGCAGTTTCAAACACTAACACGTCTTCGCGGTTGAGAATCTGGTTGCCAAGCAGAAATGCTGGCCTTGGTTCTCAATGGGACCACAATTACTTATATTTTTATTTTAATGCCATGCCTCTAAAATTTTTGCTCACGACAACGCTTCTTTAGCGCTCAAGTCCAACAACACCGTCACCGACACTCGCGCCAACACTGACAGCAGTGCCAATACCTGCAAACTAATTGGTAGGTAGATACTGTTCATTCTATCGCACAGCTTTGCAGTGAATATGATGAGCAACAAGTGGTCGTGATGTAGCGTAGAAGGAGATAATTATTAAGAGCATCCCGAAGTTGTAAGTGCTTAAGGTTATCAAAGAGGTCGCCCCGTACTTTCAGAATGAATTTTGACATCACAAGTGATGACAACTTCTGGAGCTGCCTCATCGGGGGCCTGCCGTACATAATGGTGCGCATGGGGTTTGACCAGATGGTCGTGCAGCGATACATGGCGGCGAGGAACTTACGTTCCGCGAAAACGTAAGTCTATCGACACCACAGTGACATCAATCTGACTAAATATGTTCGAAAATACATACTTGTTCTTTTTTTCAGAATAGCCATTACTGGAGCAGCCTTCGTCTTGTTCTTTTTCCTGTTGATAGCAATCGCGGCTGTGTACCTGATACAGTGGTATAGGGACTGTGACCCCTATGTCATTGGGGAAATCAGCAGCTACGATCAGGTGAGTGCATTGAGAGTATAACAAAAACTGTTTTCATATTACACTATTGTTCCTACAAAAAAAACATTCAAGTTACCAGACGTTTCGAGATACGTTCAGACCCTTCTTTAGGGCGTTGAACTTCGGGAGAGGTGGTGCATCGTTTTTAATTTGTATATTGGAAAACAGAGAGCGTGGGCCAAAAAGACCCGCTTTGAGGAGACGGGTGAGTCCAAGAAAACAAGAAGCAGAATCTTTTGGAAGAAAAGCAGGGTTGTGAGGCGCCTCAAGTCATTTTTTTGTTACATGGGTGTTGTTGCAAGTTTCGCTTAGCGCAAACTCTGCAGCTGCAATGACAGCTGCACATGATGAGCTTATTAATGAAACAGAACCTACCTGTAGATGACTTTTTGGTCTTAGTACGTAAAATAAAAGCCTCTAGTGCTGCCGTAATTGAACGCATGCGTACTGAGCGGTAGTTCAGTACATTCTATGACCCAATAACGCCAGAGCTTGAACCACCTTCGCAGAAAGACTCGGAACAGGCGTCATGTTTAGAAACTTCAATCGCGATTGTTGTGTCGCCTACCCAGTGTTGTGACAATGTATTAGGCTTTAAATATGAGCTCCTATGACTGAGTAAGCTGTAGTCAAGAGCCGCATTAGCCCAGAGAAATACGATGACAGTCTCTGCTTACGATGGCCACTTTGTTGAACCGGAACGCGTAGCTAGATTTAGCGAAGTCATCCTGAGCTACATTTCGGGTTCCAGCGTGCTCGAAGTGCCTCGTAAATCCACAATATAGGCAGTATTTATAACATTGCGATATGCGCAAATGCGTTGATCTATCTCGCAACGAGTAGCTTAAAGCACGAGAAACTTCAACAGACTTGTGTAGTCAAGAGACGTCAAGATCGTGGCGTTGGTGGCGAAGGTCATTTGTTTAAGGAATAGAGGTGTGTTGACCTTCTTAGGACTCCTTAGGGACTGTATAATGTCCTGACACTATACTGAGATTCGATTGGTTGAAGCCACCGCTTGGCTTTCTGCCCCAAGGCTTGCTGGGCCTTAAGCAATACGCAGACGAGCAGGGACGCCACAAAATGGTGTTGGGTAAGATGGTATAGCAAAGGCTGTGTGGTTTTGTCAGACTGCGCAAGGTGGCGGATGACAGTTGTGTGAACAGATGAGAGTATAAGTTTACGGGGATAAAGCAGAGGATCATCATCAAGCAAAATATCGGTTTTATTGGCTAAACATGAGATAGGCTTTGCCCCTGCAGTGTGCGTAGACACGCTGATGAAGACGATGATGACAAGAAAACCCGCAATACACTGATGCGCTCGCTAGTTCACATATTATTGACCCCCGAATACTGAACAATCTGCGAGAATTATATCCTTTTATTTGATGTAGATTTTATCAGCAGAGAACGTATTCAGAAAGGTAGAATAAAGCGTGTGATTATTGTAGTCTGCTTGGTTTTGAAGCTGCTGTAAACACCACTTTATGTTTCAGATTGTACCGTACTACATAAAACAAAGCCTTTCCAGCGTTGCAACGCTACGTGGCCTTTTCTTGGCAGGGCTCCTAGGTGCCACCACAAGGTCAGCAGTATTCTCTTCTTTGCACTGAAGACATGAGGACCGAACAATATCCTGATCGTCAATTCTCCGGCGCACTGGCTGTTGTGCTTACAACAACCGCCGCTTCGGTGCTGCGGTGCTTACAGAGTTCTACTGCTGACCCGAAAAACGGTGCTTTGATCTCTGCCCCAGCACTCGTCTTTCAATGGAGATGAAATGCTAGAAGCCCACCTGCTTTGATCTATAGGTGCGCTTACGTCCTAAAAACAGAAGATGATTATGCGAGACTGCTTAGTGGAGAGCTCTAGAAATTTCAACCACCTGTGTTTTTTAACGTGCACCTACATCAAAGCAAACGGGGATCGAGTGTTCAGCCTCCACCTAAATAATAATAATAATAATAATAATAATAATAATAATAATAATAATAATAATAATAATAATAATAATAATAATAATAATAATAATAATAATAATAATAATAATAATAATAATAATAATAATAATAATAATAATAATAATAATAATAATAATAATAATAATTAATATTATTAATATCATTATAATAGTAATAATAATAATATTAATAATAATAATTATATTATAGTCATAAAAATAATAATAATATTATAATAACTTCACGGGTTTTACGTCACCCAAACTCCATATGAATACGAGAGACGCCGTAGTGGAGGGCTTCGCAAATTTCTACCACCTGGGGTTTTTAATGTGCATCTAAATCTCAGCACGCGGGCACTAAATAAAACAGATAAGTGTGCCTGCTTTGTGAAGGGTGACGAACTTGCCAGTCAAAGTTTTTTAAACATATGGCTCAGATACTGTCAGAAGCTGAATTAGGTGCTATACGTTCGCACTCATAAACAGCTGGTACTACAGCTGAACGGGATGTGATGCTTTGAAGTGCTGCCAGGTGTTAAAAAAAAACAGAATACATACATACATTGCGCGCCAAACGACAAACAGTGGCTGCAGCTGTTTTTAAATATGCACGCCACTTGGCGCTTCGGAATGCGGCAATCGAGATCATGAAAACATTTTCTTCAGGACAGATGGTGGAACCTGTTTGCAGGGTGTAAAATTTATAAAAATCCCACTATCACGGGCTATTACTTCTCAGTTTCTTTAGAACTGAGGTAAAATATAATAAACATATTTGTATTTTATTGTGATGTCTAGAGCCAAATAAAGTTTAGGTAGCAGTGATTGAAATGCGAGGTTAACTAGATGAAATAAATTAGCACAGAAAATATATCAACAAGCGATGCAATAACCGAGACGTCGACAAGCGTTTGCCGAGGCCACGTCTTTTCTGTTTGTTGTTTTCGTTCTTCGAGGTCACTTGTCTCAGGCTTCGGATTGCTATAAAAGACATACAGGCCCTATGACTGATTCGTTTGGAGTGTACAGTTCACGCAAGATATTAACCTATCGATGCACGTATTTACATGAATTTCAGCATGGGCACTGAATGTAGTGGTCGCTCCACAAAGAGAGTATTATAACTAAAGTACGAAACTATTCTCAATCGCTCCCACAGGTCAGCTTAATACTATGGGCATCTTCGCTACTTCGATAACATCTTGTATTTGCGATTCAGCGGAATTGAGGAAATACTGTGTTTGGGGTTTGTTCTGCATTTCTACGGTAGAATATGAAGATACAGACTTGTTAGATAACATCGAGTCGACGAGGAAGTCGTACAGTAAGGTGCACAAGTAGATCAGTCCAATAAAAATTTGAGAAAGTAGATTTTTTTACAAAGACAGCTGTTCACTGACTTTTTTCTCGAATTGAAAACTGATTGCTAGTATGCATTCAATAACTTTTCAAATAAAGACTGCAAATTCATAGGTGTAACGCGAACGTGCTGGACGCAAAAAAAACAATGTGAAAAACAGAAGGGAGATGAGTCATTACCCTAAGCTTAAAGGTGGTGCTGTGCTGTTTTCCCAAAACTTTGATGTTTCATGCAGCACTGTGTCCTCCATAGTGAACGCGCATGCAGCGACATTTTACATCGACGTATTTGGGTTGTACTTCAAGTTCAGCGAACGCGCTGCAGTGAACGTCATGCGATTATTAGGTAAGTCACAAACAATACATTGTTCTTTTAGAAAAGCAGGGCAGGTTGCCCTCAGCGCGGCCATGACTAAGCTGTCGTTGTCGTCTTTTTCCGTTGTGTTAATTAGTGAATGCCGTCGCTAGCGACAGCGTTGGTCAGTCTTGATGACAGGCCACTTTCAATGCAAGGAATACCAGAGTGCTGAGCTACGAAGATGGTGCAGCAGAGGTCCGCTGCATCATTACAGTTCAAATTCATATCAGTGAAGTTTTAATCGTGTTGAAGTTACGTCGACAAGTTGGATGACTTGTATGAAATTAAGAAGTTAGTTTTTCAGTTCTTCAAGATTAAACATTGTTACGTGGCGACACTCGAAAACTATCGCAACGTAATTTTTTTACCGCTAATCTATGCTTGCACATTTCTTGAGTTGTGAGCGTGTTACGGACATTCAAATTCGGATTCACATCAGATGTAGCCCCGTTAGTCAGTTATGTACGCCTGCTAACCTGTTGAAGCGCTAAAGCTATGTGAACGAATACAGTAGTTGCGCAGAAGATTGAGCAAAAAAATCCTTAATCATGATCAGTACCCTTCGTGGCATGATAGATAAACTGAAGAAAGCAACCAGTACAGTGTTGCTGTGGGACCTACTGGAAGCCTCTAGAAGAACAATAAACTTTCACCGTAACCGGTGGTGCATGGTGAATAAGAGCGCTAGCAACAGTCGAGTGCATTTCGCTGCACATGGGCATGACATGCAGCTCATCATAATACAACTACCCTCGTCAACAGGGTAGCTAGGGGTTTCACCACCTATCGGGGAAAGCAAGCACTGGTAATACAAGTGCGCCTGTGTGAAAAAGCCCGTATGAGCGAAACTAAGAAGAATTCACCACTTCTCTTGTTGATTCATATCAGAATAAAAAAAAAACTGTGTGGTACACGGAAAGCAATCCCAGGCTATCCAGAGGGCCAAGAAAAGGGCGGAGCGTGGTGGCGTTTTCTTCTCTAGGTGGGCGTGGCCAGCAATTACAACATCCCCCGTTAGGGAGTGCTGTGAGTATAACTCCTCAGGATTGATTAAGGTTCATTGTCTGTCTGTCTATTGGTGCCATGTAGGTTTTACATGCGAATCATTTCTTGGCGAACTTCGGTGACTTTGAGCGTATCTATCTATCTATCTATCTATCTATCTATTTAGCCGCTTACGTTTGGGCACTCTCGTGGTCACCCCCTTAATTTGGCGTGAACCAAAATTATAATGGGGAGGGTAAAATGGTTTGACGAATGTGCTGGTAAAACATGAATAATGTGACAATCTTGTCGCGTACATCGTCAAACACTTCCCTTTAGACAGCGGCACATACCCACATGTTGGTATGTGCCACTGGTGTGCAGGTATGTGCGACAGGTGACTGACACTTAGTATCTACCCAGGAAGGACGAGGACACGCAGGGACAATTTTAACGCGCGAGCGTTAAGGGATACCCGACATCGGTAGCGTCGACCCGACGAGTGCAAAGAATAAATTTCAGGGTCCCCGCTGGAATCGAACCCAAGCATTCTGCGTGGCAATGAAGCATTTTACCACAGAGCTACACCAGGTCTCGGAACTACTTTTCAAATAGACGCTAATCTTCGTGAGACATCCATGGTGGTTGCAGTGCAGACTACCCAATTTCCATAAACATTACATATGTACTCCTTTGATACAGCCGTCACGTCGGGTTAACGTCAATTGTGGTTAGTTGCCATGCGCTGAAGTTGATTTATATAGCAGTGTCCAGGGCTAGCTCCCTCGCGAGCATCAGTGCTTCATATCAGTTTCTCGTCTTGCTATTACACGTGTTCTACTTGGCATCGTTGCGCAAGTGCGAACAACTGGTTATATGAGCATATGCAAGTCTTCAACATGTGTCTATGCGTGCAACATTTGTACATATACTTAGTCATTCATGACGTGTCGCTCAATAAAAAAAATGCAGCACGGTAGGTAACCTTTCCTCCGCATGCTTCGCATAACGTCGATTCCGAGGTACGTGGGATCTGTGGAATGTTTTTTTTTTTTGTTCATGTATGTTGAGAGCACACTGACCATTATGGGCACCCGTTGGGGAATATAAACGTCTTCGTTAGATCAGCTACTTCGTAAAGCTGGGTGATAAAGAAGCCAGCAGTTTTTTTTTTCGGACTCCTTTTTTCGCACGCCTCATTATTACTTTCTTCTCGTAGTCTTCGTGTGCCCGTTATTCTTTCGCAAAATGCCGGACAGCAAACGTACAGAATATCTTTAAATTTACTTTTATGTCCTTACGTGTTAGGGAGCGCTCATGTTTTGAATCGGCCAGTATCACGCAATTTTCTTACTCACTGTGACTTGGTGATGGTTAGCAAACGTAGTAGATGAAGACTTTTTTTTTATTCAGCAGTAGCATGTACGCTCTAAGCGTATTTTGACACCGAGGTTTCAAGGTTGCATCTTGATTGCGCGTTAAGCCCAATAGGAAAAAAAATTGCCCGCAGCTTCCCTCGGGGGAACACTGAGGAGGATGCGGACCATATAATTGGTTAACGGGGTGTTAAAGTGCGACTTACTTAGGTCGATGGCTAAATTGGTTAATGTGGTTGTGAAATGGGGTGTTAAATTGCGACTTACTTGGGTCGATGGCTAAATTGGTTAACGTGGTTGTAGGAGGGGGTGTTAAATGAGTGAACACGTACACACGTATGCGAAAGGGTGGCGCTGGTCGAAGGGACGTCGATCATTGTGTTTGTGGATTCGTTGGAATTCATTTCACCGCGACCTTGGACGTCGACGCGCCGTACAAACCAACCGACGAGCGGCAACTGAGCGAGCGAGCGCCGACCTTGAGTATATATACAGCACGACGGCGCATGCACTGTCAGCTGTTGAATGTTCTCGAAGCGCGACGCCACATGCGCGTCCACTGGAGAATCAGGAGAATTGTAGATGTCGAACGCGGTGTGTAGAGGAGGAAGGGGGCACAGATGGTGGAGGAGTGAAGCGCGCGCGGTGTGTAGAGGAGGAAGGGATGCACAGATGGTGGAAGAGTGGGCGACGGCGCGACGGCGCATGCGCGCGCGTCAGCTGTCGAATGTTCGAGAAGCGGTGCGGACGGCGCGGACGGCGCACTACAAGGCGCGAGTATAAGATGCTCCGCATCTAAAATATAATCCCATGCGTCATAGCTTTTTTTCTATGCGCTAGTAAAATTATGCGTGGGAGCATGACGACAGCAGTTCATTCTTAGAGTAAATGTACTGTTTGTCTCAAGAAACATGTAAATGGCCTAATTGAAGTTTCGGGATGGAAATGAAGTGTGGGAAACTAAGCATTCTTTTGTTTTTAGAGGACTAAACATTTCTGTCTTTCTGTTCACCTTCATCCTACTTTATAAAAGTTGATAACGAAGGCATTTTTCAAAGCAATCTCCATGCAGTACTTTTATGAAGATAGTTGCTGTTTGCGCAGCGTTCGCAAGTGGAACCATAATGACCATGTTTGCCGTCATAGTTCCAATGATGGGTACGGCCACGAGGGTACGTAACGTCTACGTATTGCTAGCTGTTATGCGATATTCAAAACTTAGAGCTGACGAAACCCGATTCTTTTCGTGCAGTTGTTCCTGTCTCTTTATGCATCGGCCTCGGGTCCATTCGCTGGGCTCATACTGCTCGCTATATCTTCACCGTGGGTCGATGCAAAAGTAGGTATACCACTTCCGCCTTCCAAAGTGCACGAGCATGACGTGAACAGAGAGCCACAAAAGCATCATTGCACAATCTTAGCCAATTTCACTTAAATTTGCGGCATACGTGGTGTCCAAGGGATGCAAGCTGCTGTAGGAGAACATCTAGAGCTAGATAGAGGGACGAAATAAAGAACTTCGGTGAGATAAAACTGATTCAGCCGGCCTAGGTTGGGTTAATCTGAAGATCATCAGTAGTGACCTACATGCTGCACTGGATTGACCAGGCTCGCATCATTGGTGCTGATGGCGTATGCTGCTCGAACAATGTCTGAAAATGCGATCACGTCAGCTCCAATGATGTGGACGGTATGCAAAAAAAAATTTAGTCATGGACGCATACGTGCTGTGGTGACCCGAGAATCAGGAACGGACCACAAGTGCGAAATAGCAGTATAAAATATAACAGGAATATAAGCATAATTCATGGAATATAAAAACAATGTATATTTTGATGTGACATCAATGAAAAATATCCTGCTCATTTATACTATCCATTCTTTATTTTTCAGAGCGCTTCTTGGTCAAGCTTGGTAGTCTGTTTGCTCCAGTTGTGGCATGCAGTTGGGAAGAGCTTTTTCACCGAGGCGCCAGAACCCGCGTTTGTGGGTACACTTGATCGTTGTCCTGCTACTCTGAATAGTACCAACGACAATGAAACTTATGGAGGCATTACACATTCTTTGTTCACAAGCAGGTGGGTAAACGCTTGAAAATGTGTCTACGAGTGAAATTTTAAAAATTGATTGTAGCCGTTAGGTAACTTTGTTGGCCCTAAATCATAGCTTAGGTTTCTAAAAACGAACCATTTCGGGCGCTTTGAGCATCTATCTATCTATCTATCTATCTATCTATCTATCTATCTATCTATCTATCTATCTATCTATCTATCTATCTATCTATCTATCTATCTATCTATCTATCTATCTATCTATCTATCTATCCACCTGTCCGTCTGTCTATCTATCCACCTGTCCGTCTGTCTATCTATCCACCTGTCCGTCTATCTATCTATCCACCTGTCCGTCTATCTATCTATCCACCTGTCCGTCTATCTATCTATCTATCTATCTATCTATCTATCTATCTATCTATCTATCTATCTATCTATCTATCTATCTATCTATCTATCTATCTATCTATCTATCTATCTAGCTATCTATCTATCTATCTATCTATCTATCTATCTATCTATCTATCTATTTATCTATCTATCTATCTATCTATCTATCCACCTGTTTGTCTGTCTATCTATCTATCTATCCACCTGTCCGTCTATCTATCTATCTATCTATCTATCTATCTATCTATCTATCTATCTATCTATCTATCTATCTATCTATCTATCTATCTATCTATCTATCTATCTATCTATCCGCGCACGTTTAGGTGCTCTCGTAATGACCCCCTATGCGTACAGCTAAAATACTATTAGGGGCAAGACGGTTTGAGGAATATGAATCACTGGTCATGACATGAACACTATCTCAATCCTGTCGCGTGCGTCGTCAGACCCTCTTCACCAGACGAGTGGCACAAATCCGTGGGCGGGTATATGCTACAGGTATGCGGGCAGTCATCACTTGTTATTGCTAGTTTGCATTACCCAGAAATGGTGAGAAAAGGCGCGAATAAGTATAAACTTGAACACATCAGTGCTAAGAAAAAAGCTGTCATTGACAGTGTTTACCCGAGGAATGCAAATAATAAATGTCGTGGTCCCGGAAGGGATCAAAACCCAGCATTCAGTGTTGGAATCAAGTATTCTACCAAAGATCCCCACCAGGTCTCGCAGCTACTTTTCGAATAGATCCTAATGTTCACAAAACGCCAGTTGTGGTTGCACTGCTGGCTATCTAATTTTATAAACATTTCATATGCAATCATTTAAAACAGCTGTTACGTCGGCTTAACGTCAATATTAGTCTGGTACCATCTGCTGAAGTTGATTTATGTACTAGTCTCCAGGCGTACCATCCTCGCAAGCACAAGCAATATATGTCAGCATACCGCATCTGTTGTAGGTAATACCCACGTTCTGTTGGCAGGATTACGCAACTGTAAACAACTGGTCTTACAAAACGTATGCAGCTGTTTAACGTATGCCTGTGCGTAAATTTGTGTACAAGCGCCACGTCGTAACGTTTCACTCAATAAAAACTTGCAACATAGCAACCTTTCATGGTCATGCTTCATGTGATATCGATTGTCATGGTACGTGGTATCAGTCGATGTCTTGTGACTCAGAAATTAGGCACAAAAATCACAACAAAAGGTACTCTTACTTCATATGAAATGTATAGGGAGCAATTGATATGAATGTGTGGCGACGGCTGTTCCGCTTACATAATGGTTACGTTGCAAACTTATAGACAAGACCAAAAATATACATGGCATATACATGGAAATAAACACATGGAAAGCATTCCTGCACTTAGTGTCGGTTTTGCAATAAAGAAAGTGTGCACAATAGTGACAAGAAAAAAGTAAAAGCAGCGACCCTATATTTTTCGCACTTTAATATAGAACAAGTGTGAGCACTGCTAATGAAAGATACAAAAAAAAAACAGATACCACAGACAATGGTAACCGATTCAATACGATTAGGTTAACGTGGAGCGGCATGCTATGAAGTGCTTGAATTTTAGAAAAATCAAAACATTCATGTCATGACTAGTCGGGCATTATCAGATCTTTGTGATGCATGCATAGATGGTTATTCCTCTATATATCCTGCATGACCTTTTGGGTTTGTTTTGTCATTCTAACTGTTTTTTCATTCTAACAGCTATGTCATTCTAACTTTTAAGCTCCGCCGCGGTGGTCTAGTGGCTAAAGTACTCGGCTGGTGACCAGCATATCGCAGGATCAAATCCCGGCTGCGGCGGCTGCATTTCTGATGGAGGCGGAAATGTTGTAGGCCCGTGTGCTAAGATTTGGGTACACGTTAAGAAACCCCAGGTGGTCAAAATTTCCGGAGTCCTCTACTACGGCGTCCCTCATAACTATATGGTGATTTTGGGACGTTAGACCCCACATATCAATCAATCACTTCAACTTTAGCATTTATCAAGTTAATCAAAAGGATGCAGTTACACTGAGATCGTGTCAACCTATTCATTGACTTCTGACTTTCGTTCCATAATTTTTATGTTGCGACTTGCTATTTTTATTGGAAAATACTTATGAGATGAAGTGCCGTCGGAGTATATATCTAGTTTATTCACGCTCTTAAAATGCAATTTCATAACTGCCATGTTACATCCCATTTACGTTCGTCATGCCTTCATACACTATTACTGCCAGTTTTCGTATACAGCAAGTTCAAAAAATTGCCATGGGAGCGTGAAAATATCACTGCGTACATTGCACAGTTTTTATCTTAGAATCTCTCACATTTAAAATGAAAATGTAGAAATTTGTGGACAATCTGTGTGTAGTCGGAAGAGTAACTGAGCACTGTAATGTAATTATCATGGCAAAAAAATCTTCTTTTAAACCGAAAAAATGAGATGAAGTATAACCAGCATATAGTATAGCAGCCAGAAGTCATATTACTTTTAAAATAGCCACGAAAATTCTCTACCAAGGCTTTGAATTGAGTCCTGTGGTAGTTGTACATGTGTTCGTATGGCCCCCATATGAAAATTCCTGCAGCTTCTTTTCATCAAAATATCAATTCACAGGTCCGAGGTCTTTCCCCTGTATCAGCTCTCGTTCTTTTGGAGCTCATTCATTGGTGCCTTACTGACAATGATACTCGGAACCCTACTGAGCATTTTTACAGGTGAGTAGGAGGTGATTTTGTTTGAGGCCTTTTGAAACAAGGCATTGTGCATATCATATATACAACATATACACGTTAAGGTAGAAGAAAAATACGCAGAAGTACGCAAGAACTAAACAGTCAAAACGGAACTTTTTAATGCTATTGGCTAGCAAACATCAGTGCTATTCAGCCATGGTTACACTATCGCTATCATGCCGCTTTTCGTAATATTTCGCTTTCGCCTGACTATACAATGTTATTTTTGCGGCGTAATATATGACACCCCTCTTCTCATCTGGTGTGTGATGAACTTAAACTGCACACTTAAATGAGATAGACCGTGTAAATAGTCATGGAACATTTGTGATCAATACGGACAAAATTAGTCTTAGCGAGCTAGTGTGTTTCCTTCTTTGTCAACGAAACGTGGTTGGCTGTGAAAAAAAAACATGCAAAACGTCTTCTTTTCTGATACGGTCAGGTGGAGCTCAACACTGTAAAGACAACTTGTGTCTCACAAGTCCTCTTTTTCTGAATCTGTGGAGGCGTTTCAACTTTCTTGGCGAAATGCTTCAGGTGAGTTCTAGCATGTCTGAATAAAAATGAAGGTGAAAAATTCTAGTAACTGCATATCTACGCAAACGAGAACAAAGCCATGCAAAAAAGTTATTCCGACTTTATGCTACCGCACTATTTCTAATGAATTCCTTTTTCTGTGTATTATGAAAAAAATGGCTGCACAGAATAAGGTCCTCATAACTCGTAGAACTCACTCAGGCTCACCTATACAATCTACTTTGCGCCGTACTCACTCGGACTCACACTAACGAGAATTTCCTTCAACCGGTCTCACTCGGATTCAAGTTCACCGAGAAATCACTTACCCGCACCCACCCAACGCTGACTCAGACTGACGGCTCCATCTGAGCCTGAGTAAGCCTGAGCTAGGTAATTTTTGGTTCTAACATTTCGATTCACACAGCTTAAGGGGCCCTCTATACAACTCCTAATATACAAAAAAACAAGCGCATTATTAGGGTAATTTATCGCGTTACGGAAATATGGTACGCAAATACGGCACTATATCGCTACAGCGCTGTTCCTCTCCCATTTGTTCACCTTTTATTTAGTGAGCGTTTCAATAACACAAAAGTATTTAAAAAACATGGTTGATTTCTCCACCACAGAAATCGCTTAAATACGATAATAAAACGTGTCTTTATAAAAGTAGTTTAATGTTTACTGCAGATTGATATATGAGAGCTTCCAGAATATGTATTGGTGTTTGACAAATATGGCAGCGCTTAACGTAGATGCATCCACCTAAACGCTTAGTCATACGTCTTCATCCCGACTTGAGTCACTAAAGTCGTGGTGCACCCCGCAATAAAACAACTTCGTATTAAAAATTGCACCTTCTCCCACTGGAGGTAGCCATGAGTAGCATTCGAAGCACCGCAAGGGTCGATTGAAAGTTGCTTTCATCACGGTCACCTTGCCCGATGTTAACGCGTTCTTGCAAAGGAATCACACGAAAAATTGTAATTTTTCTTGCTATTAGTCGTCTCAAACTTTTGTTGGGACATGCCGCACGGCTTCATCGCCACGCCACGTGGGAGCACGTGCGTTCATCGCTCGTCTGCAGAATCTCGTTCCCCGATGCCATGCCGTTATTGCGGAAAGTGTAAGGGGGAGAGGCCACAGCCTCTTACACAGCCACATAAGCAGGCCCGAATTCACTATTGTATTTCAGCGGGTCTCGCTTGCTGGATGGCTTCCTGAATGGTTATGTGGCCCGCGATGTCTGACGCCAGCGTAGCTCTTGCCGATCGGCCCATGGTCCGCAACCTCCTGACGCCGTATTGCTGTCACCGAGTGGCACCCCGTCCTCGGACTCCTTCGACCGTGGGCCCCATGTTTCCCATCTTTTCTCTATCCTTTCTGACGCTCCTCTGTGGCGAGAGCTCTCTCTTCTTCATCTTTCTAGTACTCTTTTTATCCCTTTTCTTCCATTACGTATACAAGGCACTGTGCCATGTCGCCAATCAGGGAGACGTAAATTAGGTGCTTTTTACTTTATGCAAGAACCACAACTACTATTGCCGGCGCATTCCGATTCGGATACAACGTGTTAATTCATCGTTCATATGCAGAATCTCGTTCTCCGCTACGCGTAACTTCCTTGGTTTTAGAATGTTTTAGCGAGCGTTGAGCCACAGTGCCATGAATACAGTGGTGGTGGTGGTGGTAGTGATTAGAATGAAGAGGAAAAAGGCACCTAATTTCTGTCTGCCTTCAGGCGACACGGCGCAGTGCCTTATAGGGGTGGGGGGGAAGGAGGGATAAAAAGAATAGAAGGAAAGTAGAAGCAGAAGAAGACAGCCAACGAGAGGAAAAAAGAAGGAGATAGGAAAGTGGGGATCCGGTCGAAGCAGTCCAAGGGCGGGGTGCCACAATGCGAGAGCTACACGGCGTCAGGAGACCGCGGAGGGCGAACCAGTCGGCGGGAGCTACGCTGAAGTCGGAGATTGCGAGGGCACAACCGTCCAGCTTGAAATCCTGCGAGCGAATCCCGAATACAGTGAAGTAGTATATGCCAGGAACTCAAGGTGGTTAAAGGTGGGAAGAAGGTACGAAGCGCAAGCCTTATGAAAGTAAAAGCCGAATTCACCTGTCTCTCATTCCCCATTAGCAGCCATTGGCATGTACATTGAGCACTATCTGACAAGAAAGGGTTGCTACGTTATACTCGCCGGGCGTAACCTCCTTGGGTTTACAAAGGTTTAGCGAGCGTCATGCCTGTCCCTTACACAGGCATGACCTCACTAGCGTGTGAGCGCGTTTTGGCTGTGCTTGGACCAGCTGTTGCTCGTGTGTAGTACGGGTAGCCAGGCAGACAGCATCGAGCTTGACTGCGTTGGCTGTTTCGCACCTAAAATTACTTTGGGGTCGTCACATCTCGTTCTGGCCTGTCAGCCTATGCATCGTTAACGAAGAAGTTGTCGTCCGGTGGATGCACTGTCACTGGAAAGCAGGAGTGCTACCGCATGGGCCTACCGTACGTGAATATTATATTTCCGTAACATGCTAAAAGACCACTTCTTCCGGCGTATCCCGTATGGGTGGCAGACGTCATGACGCTAGCAGTTGGTTCAGAAGATGTTATGGGATGAATTAAGCTCTGGCAATGTCGGTACACGAGAGATATCTACAGTGTATTGTCGTATACCTTCTTTGGCCATGCATTCGCACGCGCACTCTGCCTTGTATAGCATGACTATTGTGCGCAATAAACTGAATTAAATTTGTGTTTGTTTTGCGTTTGCGACCATGCAAAGGGAGATGGGATGCTGCGGTCAAAAAGCACCAAATGCTGACTGGCTCATGGTTTAGTGCTGATAATCCACGCGTTATATGAAGAAACACGTGGCGAGAAGGACATAGCGTTTGTATGAGGAGTAGGAAGGCAAGGAAGCGCTGTCTCACCTTTGAATTCGGCATGGTTTAGGGGCACTTTCAGGCGAATGGAGTACGCAGCACACAGACAGCAGTTTGGGGGGAGATGATTCAGCAAGTTGTTTGAGCCTGAAATCAGAGCCAGATTTTTTTTCTTTCTCATGCACATTTCATATGAGTTCACCAACGGGGTGTGTTGGAAGCACAACTTTGCCGCTAAGCAAAGAGATCAACAGTCCTACAATAAATTTTTCTTCCTTGATGCCTCTAGGTGCCCATCTATAGCAAGCTGCGCTGTAGATATGCAAGATGAGTGCCTAACCAAGTTCCGCACTTTATTTCCATTGTAGATTGAAAAAGAAGAGAGAAATGGCGACGTGAACTTGCTTCGCAACGACGAAAACAGGGACAGAAAGACCAGCCATTGCGTCGAGATACCAAAATACGAGGAACTTAAATATATCTTTGACGTCAGGGAATCGACAGACGGCACTGCCAATGAAGCCTCTTTGTAACGCTTAGAGCTACACATGATGCCACTGAACCAGTTGCACCACGCTCTTTAAAATCATTATGTGGAATGAAAAACAATAAATATTCATGGTCACTGCGAAGCCATACGCATCCAAATCAAGATGGCAATGATACTTGTTTGAAATAATTTTAGCGCTCATACTTACGTCTCAATGACTGCATATTCTTCAGTTCACGGTTCTTGGAAAGAGCTCTGCCAGCGAGGAGAAGGCAGACTGCATCAGTGGTCGCCGAAGCCGCGTTATGCCTTTCAACGTACTGTGAATTGGCTACAAGTGCAGATCAGCCGTCACAGGCGAATAAGGCGGCTTTACGCAGTGAGAACAGTGATCGCTTGCTCTACACTGTAACTTTGTGAAATTCAGATGAGTGGAAAAAAGAGATATAGGGTAGTAATTCAGACTAGTTGGTACGTTTTTAACTTTGGAAGAGCAGTGCTAAGATGGGGCGCAGCAAAAAAACTTGTCGCTTCCTTTTGTGTGCCATCTTGGCGGTGTTTTTTCAAAGTTCCAAACAAACATTTTTTCACCCTGGTTTGAGGAAACTGTGACACAGATGGAAGGGGTGAAATGGGGCTATGCGTAAGCTTCAGCCGGCCTAACTGAACGATGGTTGCCTGTCCTTAAAGGGGCCCTGCAACACTTTTTGGGCATGAACAGAAAACGCTGTCGATCGGTAGTAGAGGCTCCCGACAACACACGAGCCAAATATTATAGCACAGCACGTGGCCTGGAAGTCACAATAAATTATCGAATCAACGAAAATTGCCTTTTCTTCTTTCGACAAATCACTGAATATGCCCAAACATCACACGTGAATTACCCATCTATCAGCCATTGACTGATTTGAACAAGGCGCGTTCGCTCGTTACAGAAATTGCCGCGGGAAGCCGCCACTTGTCCACGCGTGCGCGCGCGATCACACTGAAAAAACGGCGCTTCCGAAGAAAAAAAAAAAAAAAGAAGTGTTTAAGGTTTTCTGTGGCTCCGCCATCCATTTTTCCTAGCTTCCAGCGCTTTCGTCTGGACGAGAGCAG